AGCGGTGGTAGCGAAGCGCTTGTCTAGCGGGAAAGGAAGTGAGAAGAGGAGGAGGAGTCAAAGCCACACATTCCCGCGGCGCCGCGGCACGACGGATTTTTGCGCCTCCGCCTCTGGCGCATTTCCTCCCATCCTCCGCACGCACACACGGCGCTGAGCAAGCAGAGTTAATGAACGCAAAAGCAAAAGCCGATTGAAGCCGAAGCGAAGTTGCCCCTTTTCTTTGCAGAAATCAACGCACACAGGCACACACACACACGCAGCCAGTGGAACGGGTGCAGGCACCCACAACACACAAGCGCAAGCAAAGAAAATAAACAAGCAATAAACCCGTGAAGTGAAGCCGAAGCGCGGGGGGCGCGTCCGCCGAGCAGTGGGGACGCGCAGCAACAAATGGGACGACCAGCACACACACGCACTCACTCTCCGTTCCCGCGCAGCCCAGTCCAGGAAGAGAGAGGAGGACGCCCACTGAAAGCAATGAAAACAAACAAATAAAATACGAAGATAAACACAGTTACGGTGCTGTACCCATGCGGCCAAGCAAGACGGCAGCGACCCATCAGGGGGCAAAAACAAAAAGAAAGCCGACGGGCCTGCATGAGTGGAGGTGTATATATATACGAGCACATTATGTGTGCGCCTGCCTCGTGGGGGGCGGCGAGGGCGAGAGAGTCCGTGCAGGGGACACAGAAATAGAGGAAGGGCAAGCTGTGTGCACGGCCCTCTCTCTCCCCCTCACGCGGCCACCGTCGCAGCGGCAGCCGCACCCGCAAAAAGCAGAAGAAGCAGCGCAACGGGGGAGGCGGAGTGCGAGGCCGCGGCGCTGCCGTCACTGTCGCCTGGAGTTGGGCTCGCCGCATTCGTGGCGCTGGTGGCCGGCGGTGTTGCGGTCCCTGTTCCACCGCCAGCCGCCGGGGTCGCTGCGCTTGTCGCACTGGTAGTGGGCCCTGCGGGTGCCGCTGCACCTTCGCCGCCCGGCACCTTAGCAGCCGCATTGCCAGGCGCTGCCCCCGATGTCACTGCAGGAACGGACGCTGGAGTGTCGTTGGGTGCCCCCGCAGAAAGTTGTACGCCCGAACTCCCGGCAGCACCGCCAGCTTCATGCGTGGGCCTCGTGGTGGTCGGTGCGTCCGCGGTTTGTGTGGCTCCCTTTTTCACCGTCTCCGAGAAATTGGCGACATGACGGCAGTATTCTTCCGGGTTTGCGTCCGACTTGTTCGCTTCCCGCTTGAAGTACTCCCAGTCCTTCTCAGTGCAGAAGTGGTCCCACGCGTGGCCCCCGCCGGCGGCGCAGCACAGCGCGCAGAGGGCGCACACCAACAGCAGACGGCCAGCCATCTTCGCTCTTCCCACCGCAGCACACGCACACAGAGACGCACAGAGTCTGGCGAGGGGTAAAGAAAGAGAGGGGGAGAAGGAGAAGGGTGGGGGAGGCACACAGGCACACGCAGAA